TCTCCTCCACACCACAAACCAGAGTAACAAGAGTTGATCGATTCGGTCCATTCCAGCACTTCTCTCCATTAGAGTAACGCATCACAGAATGGACAGAGGTATGAGGCGGACCATCCCATTTGTCCCATTCGCCAAGACGTGTCTCACTCCCACCATTTTTATTTCTCTGGGTGACCTTATCAAACATGCATAGTTTGTATGTGTACTCTCGATCAGTGAACTCATAGCACTGTTGATAAAGAGGAGCAAACTGTTGATTATCACCAAAATCAATATTGAGGTATTTCTGCCTCTCGTTACGTTTTCCTTCGATGTCTCTTTTACGAGACTCGGCTTCTTCGAGATCCTTTCTTGCTTTATCGGCTGTTTCAATCAACTTTTGAGTTTCCTCGTCATAAGGAGGCATCACACTCGGGGGACTATCTTGGTCTTTGTTGTCTCCATTATCTTCATCATCTTCTTCATCATCATCATCATCTTCATCTTTTTTTTCATCTCCCTCCTCATTCTCTCTTTGTGCCTTCTCTTCCTCCTTCTTGGCTCTCTCGGCATCTAATCTCTCTTCTTCTCTCTTTGCTATGTTTGCAGCCATTGCGTCCCAAACTCGTTCAAGAAACGTCTCAAAGTCAACAGATTCAGCCTCATCCAGATAATGGTTAGCTTCTTCAAGAGTAACAACATTATCACCATTATCGTCCAATTCAGAGTGATTCATCACCTCCTGTGTCGTGACACGACCATCAGAATCAGCGTCAAGCAGCGTAAACATCTTTTTTGCTTCCACTTCACGCTTTGCTGCTTTGTGAGTGTTTATTGACTCCTCCCATTTATTTTTGTGTTCGTCCTTAGCTTTAGTCTCAGGATCTTCAGCATCATCTTTTGCTTGTCGTAAGGTTTCTATTTCGGACTCTATGACTCCGATATCGTTCTCGTATTGCTCTAGCTCTTTCTGGTACTCGCTCTTCTTTTCCTCTCCTTGCCTCGAATACTCTAACATTTTCTCGTATCCCTGAGCATGCGTCTCGAATCTTCTCTGTAGCTCTGCTTTAGCTGCGCGACCCATTTCTTCACAAGTGTTGGTGCAAGCTGTGTCAGTCCCCCATTCATCAGAACCATCACAGCAGTCGCATATCTTATCATTGACGCGAGAGGAGAGGAGATAGGAGGCCTTGTGGCCTTTATTAGGACAATAGAAGAGGTTGTCTGGGCAAGCTGAAGTCCCGGGCTCGTCTGATCCGTCGGCACAATCACAATAGTCATCATTGACGTATTTGAATGGAATGGTGTCCGATCCGTCTAGGCAAGTGAAGCTCTTCCCTGGTACATAGAAGCTGGCTTTCTCCAGTGACACGCCGTGAATAGAAGTGGCCAGGGAAGACCCAGAAAGGAATAAAAGACAGAAATAAAAGAGGGCCATCTTTTCACCACAACCAAGGACCATGTGTGGTGGGTTTGACCTAGAGGTATGGTCTTTGCAACATGGCGTCCTTGATTTCAATGGAAGCAATTTTGGAGGACCTTTCTACAGCTCCGAAAGATGATATAGTATTTAAGGAATCTCCAGAAGACTTTGAAAAAGGTTTTTAGTACTTTTAGACTAGTAGATCTAATCTATTTTTTTAATATCATTGTTTTGCAGAACAAAGCAGCAACAATAAAATAGATTATGAGAAATGTACTTCATTTTATCATTCTCATGAACTATTGGAGCAATATCGGAAAGAAGATACATTATTGAAGACATTGAATGACATTGAAATAATTATTAAAGATTTACAAAAACATTTACACGAACAGTGAAAATTTCCCTCTATTTAGTCTAGGTCTAGTACTGATATTCATGGGAGGGGCTCGGGCTAAAAGTGAAATCATAGATACCGGTATTAACTTGGTGAAATCCCTGGATAGATTAGAGGTAGATCTATATAGACAGGGTGGTCAAGGAAATTTGACGCACTGCAAGCAGGACAATAAGAATCCAAAGAAGCAGAGATCTGAGACTGAAGATTACGTTGAAGACTTTATCGAATAGCTACCAATGGCTGACAACAAAGTGGAAATCCAAGAGTGTCCTATTCCTCTTGTGTGTGGGTTGTGCTCAGAGTACTACACTGACCCACTTATGCTTCCATGCCTTCACTCCTTCTGCATGAAATGTCTCGAAAAAGTCAAAGAGGAGCAAGGAAGAGAAGAAAAGTCATTAAAGTGCCCCACCTGTGACGCTAATGCCCCATTACCTTCAGGTAAAGTTAATGGTCTGACTCAGAATCTTTGGTTGGCTCACAAGGTCTTAGAGGCTACTGTTAGGGAGAAGATAACCAGCAAGGACAGCATCCCTTGTGACCAGTGTACATCATCAAGTGATGATGCTGCTGTAGCATTTTGCTGTTCATGCTGTTTGTTTTTGTGTGATTTTTGCAAGAAAGGCCACAAACGAATGAAGAAAACCGTCCACCATGAATTAATCGAGCTAGGAGGTAAGAGGGTTGAAGGAGGTTCCTCCTTTGTTAGCCGTCAGCCAACACCCTGTGCTGATCATGATTATGAAATTGTTAGGTTCTTTTGCCAAGACTGTGAGATGCTTGTCTGCCGTGATTGTTTCATTGTAACTCATAAAGATCACACTCGTATTGAATACACTAAAGTAGGAGAGGCAGCTCGTGAAGCTCTCAAGGAAAGTGCAGCAAAATGCAATGAAGCTAAAGTTCCAGGTACCTTTACTGAATCAATTGCTAATGGAGAGAAAAT